CCGCCCCCACGCCCCCCCCCCAAATGGCGTCTGCCAAGTGGCCAGATGCAAAAGCCCAGGAAGCATATTTACAACTGATAGATTTACTTTAAATAGTTGTATAGTAATGATCAAAACTTGCTAGATTTACACTGTGTCAGTCAACTGTGAGTTAATTGAAATAAAAGCACAGCACGAATGGCAATTAAATTTGAACAAAAATGTTCATGGTTTTTTTGAAGTGTCACTTATCCGAGTGTCATCCTTAATGTTGAAATGAAATTCAGAGCAAGCTACTTCAAGAGATTCATTTGAAAAGCACAATTATGTTATATCCTGGTTGACAATATTAGTAATTGCTTCAAGTCTCCGGATTTCAACTCACTTTTCCCTCTATTGTGTTAATATATCTACTCTCCCAAAACTGAGCAATTAATACATAATTTGTCAATAAATGAAATGCACATTGTTAGTCAGTGATGAATAATCAATTTTAAATCTTATAATAACTCATTTCTTAGGTTTGAAATATTGTCAAATTTCCACGATAAATGCATAGGCGATTCCCGTGGGCACTTTTGGATCAACTTGAACAATTTAATTTTCAATCACATAAGATCGAACCGGAAGTTATTAGACATTTGAAAAAAACTACGGATCGCTATTGAGTTATAAGAGAAGGCTAAATTATTGTAATAACTTAGAAAAAACTCATTGTGGGCAATACAAATATGAAATAAATATGGCAAATGAATGTTATTCGTTAAACAGAGGTTATATTTTGCCTTCCGAAAGTATATAAAATTGAATTTCATTTTTAATAAACCTGACTCAATAAAATTAAATTTTATTTAATTCGCAATAAAATTATTACGATTTATTACTTTTGTTTTTTGTACAAAGCCAATGATTAAAAAGCAATAACCTATGAAGCAAAATGTGTACATATATACAGGTGAAAAATCATATCTGGAGGTTGTTTCTACAACACGATTTGTTCGCAGACCTCATGATGGATAGAACGGAAATTCTCTTATTCATACCATCATTTCACATCCGACTGGCCTTCGAATTGACAGGTGTGTTGCCTGCCAAACTTAGACGCGATATTTCCTGATCGAGGTGAGGTGAGTGGAAAATTTACCCAGTTGTGCATTGAACACGATACTTTTAGGTTTAACCTTATATATATATATATATATATATAAGGTTATTCTGAACAGCGGAAAGAAATTTCAAAATAGCCTTGTTCAAAAATTTGGGTACAAAGTGGAAATCTAATTAATATAACAATTTAGGTTGATCATTCCCAGTGCCTGTCGAGCACTGATGAACCAAAACCTGTGACCTCAGCCATTGTTTACAGACAATAGCTTTTCCCAGCAAACCTAATTTATGACTTTAGGTACTTAATGTGATTACTGATAAGATTATTGTTAGTGTTATCGCCAATAAAGCTGTACATTTTCAGAGAAAGTGGAAAACGCTTCTCAACTACAATTCTCATTCAAAGCTAGTTTAAATCAATATAAAAGTGGAATTTATTTTAAATTTTCGGAAGTGTAACCGATAGCCTTAAACAGTATTGGACGATTTCTACATCTAGACATTTGATATTCTCCATAGTGAAGTAAAAATTGAAAGAGCAAGAAAAAATGCATCACATGCTCCAATCCTAATTTTAAACATTAATATATTGTCAGACAGACATAGCTCTTTCATACCCCATTAATATGAGACTAATAATTAATTAATTAATTTGGAAGAGGATTAGGCTTTCATATAAAAAATTAAGAACATAGTCTAACTGCTTCACTCTTTTTTTCCCAATTAATTTTTAATGCACCCAAAGAAAAGTTAATAATATTTTTGCCGTTAAAGTCAATAACAAATTAGGAATAAGGTATAGTCTACTTCTCCCGAGTGATTTGAGTTGATAATTATGAGAAGGAAAGATGCAAACCCTTGGATTTTAATTCAGGCTTGTTCTCTCGAAAATGACTTTTCTTATCTCTTTCTCTTTGCCTTGTCTTTACTTTTACTTCTTAACTAATAAAACAGTTTCGAAAGGTATTCAAGCCTTAAGGTTGTGTTGGCAATCAATAACTGTGCTGAGATTGACTTATTGCAATAAGATGAAAATTTAAGTTTATTCATGGATGTTTTTTTAGTCATTAGTGTCGACATGCTGTCTCATTATTCCAAACCTATTTGGAAGCAAAATTGTAACCCAACTGAAAGAATGAGAGATACTTAACCACACTGATTAAAGAAAAGTTTGATTTATCTCATTTGTCGACTTCTGGTTTAAAATTAGTTTGTTACAAGCAACTATCATGGGATTTTGTAAATAAAATCCATCTCAAACCGTTGCGTGCATAGAATGGGAGGAGGAGGGGGGGGAAGGTCAGAGTGGAGGGAGGGAGTCATTGGTTTTGTGTCAAGGAAACACGAATTTTCTCCGACCATATCTCATTCAAACCATCTTACTTGGCCATACTATGTAGCACGCAAAAAAATAGTTTCAAGTCTAATACACACACTTGAGGTGATTATAGCATGACACTCTCTCTTCTTCTTCCTCCTACCTATATTAATGACAAAAAAATTATATTTCAAATAAACCGCACAAAAACACGCCCAAATAAACAGTCTGACTTAATGCATTAAAACAACCTTTAAAGAGAATCGTCTTAAAGCGGCAAATTCAGGAATTGATTCTTTCTCTCTTAAGGAAATAGTTTTTTTTAGTTTTAAAAAATGTAATATTTTAAACCTTTTAAGTTAGTGAATAGAGAGAGCTCTCAAAGTTGTGATGTAAATATGGAAGCGTAAGGTTTCGGCTGAAAAATGATGGATGCTTATCGTAATTATTTTCAACACTTTAGCACTGCAGAACATTCTTTACCGGTAAGACAAAAAAGTGGATTATATAGAAATTAATGAGGCATCCGAAAGGAGTTGGTATTCACTTCCTACCCACATCGTCTGGAGTTAGTGAAATGGCAAAAGTATTTTTTTCTTCTCAGCATTTCGAAATGTTAAATTGCACTGTCTGTCTTGCAAGAGAATTTTCTTTTGGAAATGCCGTAACGTATTTCGATACAAACTGATCAAATATTAATGCGAACTCATATTATAACTGGTTTGGGAAAAGGCTGTCTGGCTAAAAAGAAATTATGGCCCCCTTGGGACTGAATAAGCATCCTGTGCATTTTGAGGAAGAATTTTTCAAAGTCGGCTTTTTATGTCCGTGTTAAATAAGGCAAAGACCTTGGCAATGATTAAAGAAGTAGCCCAAAGTTAAATTTTGCCAAAATTGTGTTCTTTTTACAATAATTAGAAAATCGTCTTGCATGGATTTGATTTGACTCTTCATCTGAGTCAGAAATATTATCGAAATTTTAGATCCATCAACTAACTAAAGTCTTTGCTTCCCGAATTCGTTTATATGAATTCCATGTATCAAACTCATGAACAGCACTTAAAACCGCACTAAAATTTGGTAAATAACAGTCATAAATAAAACTTTTGACAGTAACTTCAACCAATTTCCCTTCAATCCGTCCATCATTGTGATTTCATTACCTTCGATATGATCATGATCAAAAATGTGAATTGGTTTTAAGATGATGTATATATATATAATTAGTATTTGTAAGATAATGAAATTCAACGAATAACTTAAATCATCTACTATCCCTGAAAGAAAAAGGAAGATTAGCCATATCGTTAGCCAAAACTCGACTCCCTATAAAAATGTCCGAAATTGTAAAAGAAAAGCGGACATATTTTTAAATGTTTAATTTCTTTGAGCAAGTGCATCTAATTTTGTTCACATTTCAAGGTCTTTCTATTTTTGAACTTTGAATAAGTTGACAAAGTAAGTAAACGCTCAAGATTTAATAATTTCTTGCCAGTTAAATGAGTCAAACAATCTTTTATTTGATTTTCAGTAAATATATACAAAGTGCAACAAATTATTTAAAAATTCTAATTACTTTGGTAATCAATCCAAACTTCTAATGGTGATAAATATTTCTTACATAAGTCAAAAATAACTTAGTACTCTTAAATTACCCATCATCAGCGTAAGCTAAAGATGTTAAAATTAATAATTTCAAATGAAATATACTCCCAGAAACTATACTCTCCCACAAAGCCGATTATCCTTATATTTACAATTATTTTACAGTTTAGTTCTGTGCACACTGATGTTGGATAAAAATTAGCCCGTATTTTAAAAACGTTGCATATTCAAAAACAAAATTAAGAAAGACTTATTTTTTAAGGATAAAACTTATATGAAAATCTTATCCAAAGGCATTGATATATGATCCAAAAAATTAAGCACCTAAAATAGTCCTTTCAACATGTAACGTTTTTAATAGGTACACCTTATGCTATTTTTATACAATTTTTTGACCCAAACCGATAAAAATTTGATGGACAGAAGCAGAAAGTTGGATAGGAGTGACTTCAAAGAGAGTTTTGGCTAGATAATTTAAGGAGCACATTTTAGTGAAATAAACCTAACATCTATTTAAAGACGGTATGTGGGCGAAGTTGGCTTAATAATGTTCTCTTCGAAGGATGACAACTGTCGATCCCTAAACTACTAGCTCCTTAAACGCGCCGTTTAAGAGTCGAGCCCAGTAGAACTTTTGAATTTTTTTGAAAAAAAGGAATTCAGCAAAATAACCTAAACACATTTTATTAACGCGGCAAAAATGCACATTTTGTTTTACTTCGAACTAATAATCAATTTAACATCATTGGTAATTGGGAGCCTTAGAAAAAATTTGCTTATTTGAAATTAGAAATTTTCAAAAAATAAATGTCTTTTTTAACTTGGAAACATTTGAATGTTTTTCCCTTTTAAAGCGATTAAAACAAGGAACCCGTTTTCAAAAAAATCCAATTTTGCTTTATAATTACTTTATAAACAAGCTTTACTCTTAATCATTATAATGGGTAAAAATTTAATATTTTTCAATGGTCTATTAATATTTTTAGCGGGATCTATGCATGCTCATCATCTATTAGGCCAAAATTAGGAAATTATTTAGCAGCTAACTTACTGAAAGATCTATATTAAAGACATTCATATCAGCTATTATTATCTATCCCATTCACATAGATGAATATGGAAAAAGTGACCTTGCGTTTGACAAAGGTATCCATGTTACATCTGTGCGCATAATTGATTAAAGATTCATGAATAAATCCAAATACCATATATTGCTGCCCACTCAAAACTGGTAACTTCTCCTCAAAAGCCATTATTAGCTCATAAAATAAAATAAATCGGTTTGCTGATGCACTGATTCTCCAGCTGCTACTTGAACTAGATTCACTAATGTTAACCCCACTTATTTCGTCTTGAGAGAAGATTTTCTGGACCGACTATTATAAAAATTTACTTTTTACCAGTGCGCTTCGTTAACCATAATTAAATTGGACAGTTGGTCGATGAACACCTTTCTTCTGACATTTGACTTGGCAGATGAAAATGTCAACAGCCGTCCACTTTGACTGATTTTTTTTGCATTTTGGATCATTTAACATCGGCATGGAAAGAAGATATCCATCCCTATTCTCTCAAACTGGCTGAATAAAGCGTCACTTATGAATATTTTTTACTATTTTTGATGTTAAACCCCTTAAACGTTTAGTTGGGAAATATGGCACATATAGTCTACTATTATACAAACGAAAATTGTTTACCTTTTATTATAGGCTTCACTCGTTCAAATAAATCTAATTCTGAAAACAAACTGTTGTTTGTTTTAGAGACTGACTGGGGTATATAGCTTGAGTTATTTAAACATTTTGAAATCATACGTACCCTGCTGTTTTCCGGTGTTGCATCATTATCGTGTGCCTTAATCTCTCCAACCGGGGTGTTAACCTTTGTATTTTCGTCGATCAAAAATTGATATAATGGTTTATCGAATTCCGGTACACAGTCATTTTCATCTAGTACTTCCACAGTCAGCATACCGCTTCCTTCATTTACGGGTTCGCCCAATCCATTATCATTCCCTTCTCGATCTCGAACGGCGACCATTAGGTTGAATCGTGCAACAATTTCTCTATCAAGAGTAGTAGCTGTAGTGACTAATCCTGAATAGGGATCAACTTTGAAGTTCTCTGCTCCTTCTCCACTTATGGAGTATACAAGAGCTGCGTTCTTTCCAACGTCTGCATCAAAAGCTTCTAGCCGATAAACATTGACGCCTACCGGTGCGTTCTCCTTAATTCTAGCAATCATGGGATTGTGCTTAAACATTGGTTTATTGTCATTCTTATCCAAAATCAATAACTTAATGTCCACTCTTGTGGTTTGAGGTGGTTGACCAGAGTCTTGACAGGTTAAGGCCACAAAGAGCTCGCTCAGTTGTTCCCTATCAAAGGAGACTCGGGTTAATAACTTTAATTGACTCTGTGATCCTTCAAAAAGAGGTTCAAGAGAGAGACTATCGTGGCTTAATTTGCATTGAAAGCCTCCTGAACCCTCATTTGGAAAAGTAGAGGGTCCGTTTGTTTGATCTTCATCACTGAGCAGGACGGTGGCAATGAAATACCCAGGAGGTCGGTCTTCCTCCACTTCCAGATAAACTGGTTTGTATCTTTGAGACTGTTGCTGATTTTGCTTCAGGGATCCCCCCTCCTGCTTTCTAGGCCGCACTGGCCGAATTGTGATTGTTGGAGCATGATCATTAAGGTTCAAAATCCGAACCTGAACCTCCTGGTTATTATGAAACTTTCCATCACTAACTAAAATTGGAAGTGTGTAAGATGTCTGCATCTCATAGTCTGGGGATTGTTTGAGGTAAACAGTTCCATCTTTTTCCCTTATTCCGAAGATAGCGCGTGCTGCTGGTGCAATGGTACTGTCAAAAGAAAAAATTATGTTTTCTCTGTCAATGACATCAGGTTCAATAACTCTTGGTGTATAGACAGCTTGATTAAATGGCGCATTTTCTTGAACCTCAATAGTAACCGAATTTCGTCGAAGTGGACCATCCATTCTTAGCTTAGAATATATTCCATCAACAGAAGACGATTCAGGAGGTAGAAAATAAGGTGCGTGGTCATTAATGTCCTTTACACTCACCCGAACTACAACGCTTCCTGTTTTTGGTGAAAATCGACTGTCGTCTGTTGCCACCAACTTCATAGTGAAAGTTCTCGGCGGGACATCCATTTTTTCGCTTTCCTTCGGTAGAATTTGCTTTTGTTGAATCAGGCTAAGTTGACCAGGTGTCTCATAATCCAATTCGCCAATGACCTGAAGCCAAAGTCGAAAAGATGGTGCTGAACATGCTTGTAAATTCCATCCAGTATTCCATCTGTCAAGAATGAAGTGCTGTGGGTCTTTTTGTTCAACTACTTCAGCATCTAATTTAAAGTAACGATTGATATCTGTTGCTAGAACATGGGAACCGCCATAATCCGAATCAGGTACATTGGTAGAGAAGAGAAAGTACCTTGACGTAGTATTTTCAGGACCACAATCGGCATCCACAGCTACCGGTAAATGGAACCGTGCTCCGGGAGCTGTATGTTCTGGAACTGTGATATTGATTGAGTCCTCTTGCCATGTCGGAGCATTGTCATTGATATCAAGGATAAAAATTTTTACAAGAATAACCTGAGGTTCTGGTACTCCACTAGTCGTTTGGCTTTCAAGCCGAAGTACCTGCAGATCAATGAAACAGGGGATATCTGAAGTGTCACTGCTGGTAAGGTGATGAGAACTTGGAGATGAGGGACATATCTCCTCTCGGTCTATTCTTCCTTTTGTTGTAATGGTCCCTGATGAGCTATCTAGTTCAAATAGGCGTGTAGATGTTAACAATTGGTAAGATTCACCATGTGACGGACTGAGCAAAAATTGTGGTGCATGAATGCTGATATCTTCGCTTAGTGTTCCAACTACAGTTCCTTCTGAACACTCCTCTGTTAGTTGAAATTGAACATTGATACTGGTTCTCTGGCAAATGCACAGATGTAAGTGAAGAAGGAGGAGAATATAAAAGGGGTGGAGAGTGAATGAAGGTGTGAGGATCATTTGTCTATAAACACATGCTATTTACAAATGGAAAGCACAACTGCTGGGGCTGTGTTTGTGTGTAAAAACACAAAATGATGTGTGCAATGGTTACCCTTTCGACAATTTACTCCGATGACCAATGCGCGCATAGACACGTATATCGCGGCATCATTGGCTACCACCTCGGCCAATTAACAGCTCCCTAGCTCGTGGGCAGGGAAGGGGAGTTTAAAGTGTCACACAATTTTGTGTTTTCGCTTGCGTGGTTGCAGGTGCTTATCAAGTAAATATTTTAGAGTATAGTTTATGGAATAGCAAAAATGGATTGTTTACTCCTATTTGCCCCAAAAATGGTGAGTTTAAATAAAGCAGATTGGGAAAATTATATTCTTATATTCTTATGTTAAAAGCGCCAAAATAAGTCAAAAGAAATAGGTAATTTTGCCAGAACTTCAAGAGCAAACTTTATTAGACTTCAAGGAGAAGCGAGTTGTCTCCATTTCATAACGAGTATAATCTACCCTCTGAGACCTAGTCCTCAAAACTAAGAACTAGTCTTGCAAATTTATGATCGAAATTTTGTTAATGATCTTAGAAATGTATCTAATTTCGTCATTTATCGTGCTAACGCGAGTTATGTCAATCATACCAAGCTGAAGTAGGAAAGAATGGGGTAGGTTTGTAATTTACTAGATCGTCAACCGAAGTATTCCAATTAAAATTCTTGCAAAGATGGCATGGAATGCTTGCACTGCGTTCTAAAAGACCAATCTATATGCAGTGAGTCAGGTTTAATAAGCTTTTATGTTCAAATCAATGTGTCAGATTCGTCACGAAAATTGAAATTAAAAAATATACGTTAATTATTTTATGTTTACGCAAACTTTACTGGTGTATTGCTTTGCATTCTGTCAACGTAAAATTTAGGACAATCACTTCTAATCACTTAATCGATCAATTACCGCCATGCACAGTGGACATGATTTCATTTAGTGCACTTTAAAGTTGAAATACCGAGCATAATTAGACGAGGTTGTCGACTTTCAAATATCATGGAAAAAGTCTGCCGTGTGAATTTTTCCATTTCCGTTCTATTCAGTTGTTGTTGTTGGATCAATTAACAACACTTCTTATGGATCCTCATTATTAGACCGTGTTTAAAGCTGGTTCTGACGTGAAATAAAACAGAATATATAAGGAAAATTACAAAAAATTGTTCGATTTTAACATTAAAAATGACAATGTGAAAGATCCCAAACGCAATCTGTCGCAAGAGTTAAAATGACGAGCTTTTAGGTATTTGCAGTTGACTTGTATAGTTCAAGATGTCTTGTGATGTAAGCTACCATTTTACATGCATGTCGTAATGGAGTTCTTATTTTGTTGTCAAGTTGTCAAGATTATACAAAAGGCAGAGAAAGATAGTGGCAACAGTTGAGAGACCACCAAGGGAGAATTTGTACTTCCTGCGCCCGCGGAAGCAGAATACGAATTCAGAACTGAGGTGTTGCTCCAAACTATTTTACAAAATGGGCACAACTTCCTCATGAAATAGAGCGGTATTGATGGCCTAAAGTTATTTTTTATGTCTAATAGCGATTTGAACCAGATTTAATTTTTCTATCTCTTTATGAAATCTGAGAATAATACCTAGAAAATTTATCTTTACCAAATGGCAGGCGTTTTGATAGGTATCATAAGCCCTTTAGTTGACTTCAGGCCTCACATAGGGGAAGGAACATCAAGGGAAAAAAGGTCGAGAAGGGGGACAGAATAATGATTCACATATGTAAAAGAGACAGACACAAAGGTAGAAAAAAGGTAAGGTGAGTACTGTGAAAGGAGTCGAACATGACATACAGTGGGGTCATGGTAGTTTGAAGTCAGAAGTCAACTTCCGGTTTATAGACTTTTTTGCCGTATGAGTATACGTTGCCCAGGGTGCACCACGTGGAGGTAAGTCTATCGCACACCCCATGCCTAGAAAATAGAGTTTAATTAATTGAAACCATCGTCAAATATCAGCAAGAGCATTAATATGGCTTCCTATTTACTTTTATTTCAAATATGTCTCTATTTTCACAGTCTTGGATGTCTCCCGATTAAATAGGGACGAGATCAATGATCATTAGAACACCAATCTAGTTTATTCTGAAAATGAAGAGTGGTGATGGAAAGTGGGTATGTTGCCGGCGGTACAGGACACCATTCCTTTAATCCAAGCCAGGTTCTGTAAAACCTAATTCCGATTTTCTTGGCAATTTCAAGTTTCAGGTTTCAAATTTCGTGATTAACTGAATTCATTTATATGTAAATATTGTGATCCAGCATATTGAAAGTATTCCCTCTCATCGATTCTGATAATAACGGAACACAAATCGGTAGAAATCTATTAATTTGTTTAAAATTAATTATTTCCCATTCAGTCAATCAAAATGGTTGGATCTAGTAGATTCGGTTTCTGGCCATGGAGAAACGATTTAATATTGAGAAGTTAGACAAATCTTTTGAAGATGTGATCAAGGAATGTGGATCAAAAATATGAGGATAACGAAATGCATACATCTTAGCTCTACGTTGACTTGAAATTGGGGGCATTGAGTCGGCTATATTTCCAAAGATTGGACATTTCACACTATGAGGTGATTATATGCTATCTTATTATTATTGGATCCTGGAGACATTGGCAAGAGTATATTAGTTTAATTCAAATTCCATGGTCTGGCAGATTTATCATCTGGGATTTCAATATGGCGCAGTTTGCCCATGTCCTTCTACAGTAGATGAGATTACCGATAACGCATTTATATCACTTTGCTTTGACCCTCTACACCGGAATTCAGATAATCCTGCCTTTAATTTTTATTTATTGTCGCGACCGAATATTTTGGATGAAGTAAGCTGTTTTGATATATAATAAAATCTCCGATCACAACTGGGTGTCTCTAAAATGATTGAGTAAGGTACCCTAGGGACTGCAAGCGTCGTTGACTATAAAGAAACTCTTATTAATTCTTTACTCGATATCTGCAAATCCGAGAGAGCTAAATCAGAATTTATACTAATTTATGCTATCTAAGTAAATGCCCGCTTTCATGGAACAAAGACAAGGAGTAATATAGAGTTAAGTTAATGATATAGTATAATTGCAGCAAAAACTCGGTAAAATGAAGAGAAGTGAGAAATTAATAGATTTCATTCCGACTGAAAGGTGAATTTCTTCAGTAATCAGGAGTTCTAATAGATGTGATGTGATTCTAATTAGATTATTTGTTGTAATACTGGTACGGGTACCCTCGTTCTAAGATATATTAGTACGCAATCATACCCAATTCTTATAGACAAAATTAACGGCTATATCATATTTGTCGCTTTAAAAACCAATAGAGTGCTGTAATTTTCATAGAAAGGGAATGGTGAAACTTAATAAGTAAAATTAAACCTTCCAATGGTAAATTAATCGATAGTGAAAAAACCTCAACATAAAAAAGATTATTTTAACAACTTTTTCCTCTGATTTCTCGAGGCAGTTGTTGAAAACAGTCAAATCCCAGGCGCTCGCAAAATATAAGTAGAGATAACTAATAGACCACTGATTAGTTGTAACCATGTCAACAAATTAACTCCGATAAAATAGTTGTAAGCCTTGCATAAGTATCCACAGTTTTCATTCGTCCAATCAGAAGGCACAAAAGCCGGTTTAAAACTACAGTTCCTTGTAGGAATGGGATTAGGGTGAGGGAGGGGGGGAGATGCGTTGTATAAATTTTGCCAACATATATTTAAAATGTCTCTTAGATTGCAAAGATATGATCTAAAATTAAACTGCATTTGAATATTTATTAAGAACCGTTTGAAAAAATTTCAAATAATATTAATATAGTCAGATTATATTAGGATAGCATAAGTGGAGCCCAGATTGCTCCCTTGATAGCATAATGTCAGGAATAAATTAATAAAAGCCTGTATACCTTCACTGATATAAATAGTCAGTTATTATGATGCTTATTCCCCTGCGTGTAAATCCCTGCTCAGATATGACAAAACTCTTTCATATATTCATCGCACACCCCAAGAAGCAAAAATGTAATCTTAGGCGAACCTCATCTGTTAGGTGTACGCATTTCTCATGGTACCATTCACTCGCAAGAGCCAAATAGTATGTGTAAGCTCACTTTAGACTATTCCCTAAGATCCCAGTTTTTTTGAGAGGGTATTGCAATTCCGTCTGTGAGCTTTCTAACCCTATTAACTTTCAATTCAGAGCACCTTAAGTTAATACTATTTCAAGTAAATAGCAAAATATATTAGCGCTCTAGATAATTCTTCCATTTTATAAAGGCCGGGTTAAATCTAATTTAGTTGGGAAAATCTTTAATAATGATTATTACTTAAATATCAAATGAGGCTAGTAAGAAACTTGTAGATTATGCTTTGTTTGCACGTTCGGAAAATCAATTTAAATCTAACTGGGATAATTCCAATTCTCGCATCAAACTAGGCAGAGAACCCCTAAACAAAGTGGATAATTAAATGTAATTGAATGAAAAATGTGAATCATATCAAAGGCTAAAGAGAGTTGACGTTCACTTCACTACAAAATAGCTTTCAATTTCATTCCAAGATATTTTTTCACACATTTTTTCTAATTTCGGCATTTATTTATATCAAATGGCTGGCGTTTTGGTCATCATTAGCCTTTTAGTTGACTTCAGACTTCACAGAGGGGAAGGAACATCAAAGTGAAAAAAAGTCGGGAGGGGGAAGAGAGGAGTGTTTCAAAGTGAAAAAAAGTCGGGAGGGGGGGGGAGTATAGAAGTGTTTCAAAGGTAAAGGTGGAAAAAAGGTGAGGTGTGTATTGTGAAGTGGTCGAATATTACATACAGTGGAGTGATGGTAGTTTGAAGTCAAAAGTGAACTGCCAGTTAATAGACTTTTTGCCGTATGAGTATGCGTTACCCAGGGAGCACCACGTGGAGGTAGGTCTGTCGCAGCGTTACCCAGGGAGCACCACGTGG